CCCCTCCTGCCAGCGCAGCTTCGGTTCCTTCAAATTACAAGTTACGTTCCCAAGGGAGTGTTGCTGGCTCAGCCTCTTGGCCCCAGGAGGTCGTTCCTAGCGTGGGGAGGGGGCTGTGGTTGTCCCTTGAGGGTGGGGACCCCCAGAGGCTGACGTCCCCTCACCCCAGGTGTGCGACAGACCACAACTCGGACAACACGACAGCGATGCTGCAGGAGTGGCTGGGGGCAGTGGGGAAGGACTATCACTCGGTGGTCTGGAAGGTGCAAGAGGAGCCCAGGTGAGGCTGAGGGGGGCAGGCATGGGCTGCGAGGGGCTCCCAGAGCAGCACCCTGCTCCCCAGCTGGGGACGGTGCCAGGCAGAGCTGGGCTGACTCAGCCAGCAGGCCTGCGGCGGCATGCACCGAGTTCGTGCGTTCCCAGCGAGCGGGGTTAACCCCTGCCTTTCCCCTGCCCAGCTCTTACCCCGACGAGCTCGGGCCCAAGCACTGGAGCGACAAACGCTACGAAAACCTGATGAGGCTGAAGCAGGAGGCTCTCGTCTACGCCCGGGAGCAGCGGGCAGACTACATCCTGGTAAGGGACATGTGGCACTGGCGGGGTGGGGGCTGAGGTGGGTGGCCCCACATCTCCAGGACCTCTGCCGTCTCCCCAGTTTGTGGACACCGACAGCATCCTGACCAACAACCAGACCCTCAAGTTTCTCATGGCGCAGAACAAGTCGGTGGTGGCCCCCATGCTGGACTCGCAGACCTTCTACTCCAACTTCTGGTGTGGCATCACACCCCAGGTACGTCCTCAGAGAACTCTGGGGAAGGGGATCCCCCCCCTCCATGGCAGAAGAGCCCCCCACCATGGAGGCATCACGCCGGTGTGTCGCAGGGCTACTACCGCCGGACGGCTGACTACTTCCCCACCAAGAACCGGCAGCGGGTGGGCTGCTTCTCTGTCCCCATGGTCTACGCCACCTTCCTGATCGACCTGCGGAAGGAGACGGCGCGGTTGGCTTTCTACCCGCCCCATCCCAACTACACCTGGGCCTTCGACGATATCATCGTCTTTGCCTACTCCTGCCAGGCGGCCGGTGAGGGCGGTGGGGGGGTCAAGGGTGAGCAGGGGGATTCGGGGAGGTTGTGGTGCTCACCCATCCCACCTGGCAGGCGCGGAGGTCCACGTGTGCAACCAGGAGCGCTTTGGCTACATCAACGTCCCCTTGAAGGCCCACCAGACGCTGGAGGATGATCATGCCAACTTCGTGCATCTCATGCTGGAGGCCATGGGTGAGCACCTGTGGGTGTTGGGGTCCTGGAGGTGTTCCCAGCCCCAGGGGTGATGGGGACCTGGTGCCAGTCCCTGGGGCAGGGCTGTCGGCCCCAGTTCCCGGCCAGGCAGACCCTGGGCTCCACCGAAGGGGTGTCCCCTCTCTCCGCAGTGGATGGCCCCCCCATGCAGCGCTCCAGCCACATTTCCCTCCTCCCCAAGCCGCTCACGAAAATGGGCTTTGATGAAGTAGGTGTCTCATGGACCCCCCATGTCCCCCTGTCTGCCCCTCTGGCTCCATCCGTGGCAAAGCCCACCATGGGTTTTGGCTGAGCCCCCTGTCCTGCATCCTGCAGTGGCTGGGCAGGCTACATCCGCCCCATAACAACATGCCCCCTTGGTGGGGCTCTCCCCTTCCTCCCCAGATCTTCCTCATCAACCTGGTGCGGAGGCCGGACCGGCGCCAGCGGATGCTGGCATCCCTGCGGGAGCTGGAGATCGCCCCGCGGGTGGTGGATGCTGTGGATGGGAGGTGACTCCACTCTGCCAGCCCTTCAGTGTCACCCTGGGGGTGGCTGGGGGGGGGATGCCTTGCTGATGCAGCCCCTCTTCTTGCAGCACCCTCAACAGCAGCGACATCAAGGTGCTGGGGGTGGACCTGCTTCCTGGGTACTACGACCCCTTCTCCGGCCGCACACTCACGAAGGGCGAGGTCGGCTGCTTCCTCAGCCACTACAACATCTGGAAGGAGGTACGGGGCCGTGGGGGCCACGGGGTCCCTAAGGGCCACCAGCACGGGGCCTGGACCCTGTGAGCATCACCAGGTCTCTGGAGGGTCTGGGGAGAGAGGTGTCCTGCAGGGTCAGTGGACCCAGTATGACCTAGCGTGGTGCTGGGATGGGTTTGTACCTCTGTCCCCTCCCTGCAGATAGTGTCCCAGGGTTTGGAGCGCTCGGTGGTCTTTGAGGACGACGTGCGCTTTGAGGCCGCCTTCCCGGCACGGCTGCGGCGGCTGATGGAGGAGCTGGAGGGGGCGCAGCAGGACTGGGACCTCATGTAGGTTCTGGGACCAGGGGGATGTGGGGTGGGGGTCCCCAGGGCTGGCTCTCATGGCTCGCTGGCCACCCTGCAGCTACCTGGGGAGGAAGCAGGTGAACGCGGAGGATGAGGTGCCTGTGAAGGGGGTGAGAAACCTGGTGGTGGCTGGGTACTCATACTGGACGCTGGCCTATGCCATCTCCCACCGTGGGGCACAGAAGCTGCTGGCCGCCGAGCCCCTCTCCAAAATGCTGCCGGTGGACGAGTTCCTGCCCATCATGTACGACAAGCACCCCAAGTAAGGAGCGAGGGGTGCAGAAGGGGTGCTGGCGGAGTGGCACGGCCGTGCCAGCGAAGGAGCATGTGGTTCTTTTCTGCCGTCACCGTCCCACCCCGTCCCCCCCTCCCCGGCGTTACTCATGCTGGAGAAAACATCTGTAGCATGAGCTCATTCCCCCCCCGACCGCTGCCTGGCTGCCAGCCGCTGGAAAATGGCCTCCTGCCAGCGCGGGGTGGGGGGACGGCAACAGGGACGGAGCTGGCGCTCGATGCTGGCCCTGCACAGGGGTCTTGGCCCTCTGGGGCGAGGGGAGCAGCCCCCTGTACCTCTGTGTTGGGGGGCTGTGTGGTCCCCTGTCCCTGGTTGTGGGTCTCAGCCCCATCTTGGGGCACTTCCATGTCCCTCTTCCCGGGCAGGGGGTCAGCAGTGAAGCTGTGTCTGGGGAGGGGGAGGCAATTTAGGGGGTGGGTGAGCGTTGGTGGCCGGGTGTCCTGGGGGAGAGGCAGGTGGGAAAGCCGGTGAACAGAATGGCGAAACAGAGGGATTAGGCATGTAAAAGGGAGGCTGGAGGTGGACGGAGGGACGGATTAGTGCTCTGGATGTGAACCAGGAGCAGCTGGGAGCCCCATACTTGCCTGGATAACGGCACCAGACAGCTCTGGCCTGTGGCCAGCCGCGGCCAGGCCGGCGGGATGCTGTGCCGGAGACCCCCTCCGTGCCAGGGCCAGCCCCGTGCCACCAAGGCTGGTGGGGAGACAGGGGCCCCATCCCCTCCACAGTCCCTCCCCAGCCAGGCTCTGCAGGAAGCAGCAGCGGGGGCAGCCCCCCAGCTCAGCTGCCTTCCCCAGACCCCCTCCCCAGTACCCCATGTCCCTCCCCGGGTGGTCAGCATGGCTTTCCCAGCCCTTTTTTTAACACCGGGCCATGCTCTGTGATCCAATTTCTGCTCTGGGTCCACTCTGCTTTCCCCAGCGAGGATTACAAGCGGCACTTTGCCCCTCGGGACCTGCTGGTGTTTTCAGCTCACCCCCTCCTGGTTTATCCCACCCACTACGCTGGGGACAGCAACTGGCTGAGCGACACCGAGACCTCCACCATCTGGGATGACGATGCCAAGAAGACCGACTGGACTGGCTCGCAGAAGACCCTGAGGGACTCACGGGGTGGTGCCGGCCACCTCCGCTCCACTGCCCGCGATGAGCTCTGATGGTGAGCGGGGCCGTGGGACCCAGGTGTGTGGTGCCGGGGATGGGGGACAGATTGCCTGGGAAGCATCTCCCTGCGAGCACCATGTTCAGGTGTTTCCTGGATGCCTTGTTTCTCTTTGCCGTGTGGCAGCAGCTCTTCCCATCAGACTCAAAGCATTGGGAAAAAGAGACAAGATCTCTCCCAGGCAGGGGAAAGAATGGGGATGCAGGTGTCCCATGTGCACTGGAGGGGACCAGGAGTCTGGGTCCTGCTGCTCCTCAGCCCCTCAAGCAAGGAAGGGACAATGCTTCTTCGCCTCCTCCAAAGGTCACACTAGTTTGGGGAGAGCTTGGGGCATCTCACAGGGGAAAGTTTCACCCCGGTGCTGCTTGCTCCCCCCCAAGAACTTGTCTCCCTGGGGCCATGTCTCTGCGGAGCGGCCGTGCAGGCAGGCGAGAACTCGCACTCGGCCCTGAGGCAGCACCGCCACGGTTAACGCCGGGTCAGACTTTCCCTGTCTGAGGTTGCTTGTGCTGGCAGCAGAGCCTTGTTGGGAGCAGCCAGACCGGGGGAGGCTGGAAAACAACCCTCCCACTGCCTCCACTGCAGGCGTGAACACGTCGGGGCTGCTCCTGCCTTGACCGCTAAGGTTTGTGTCCTCGCCTCCTAGGGATGACAGACCCAGCTGGGAGTGCTGCGGGCCAGTGGCCTGATCCTGCCTGCTCCCGTTTGAGAGAAGCAGCTGCCCTGGACAGATCCCACCGGGATCCTTCAAATCTGCAGGTGGCAAATGCAGCCCAGGCAGGATTTGCCCCGGGGCTCCTGGAGGGCCCTTTCCCTGCCAGATGGAGGGACCAGGGGAGCGCTGTGCTCCATCTCTGCTGAGGACACCTCTCCAGGACTGCCCTGAGCAACGCCAACTCTGCCAACTCCCACCAGCTTGGACTCTGGGGAGTGTTTTTCAGGCCAGGGGCTGATTCCTGTGGTGGCACATGTGGCCTCCTGCTGCTGACCGGGCTTGTCCCTCGCCTGTGCCGTGTCTGGGCTGAAGCCCAGGGAGGATTAAAGCAGACTGTTTGAGCTGACGGGTGCTGGCTCTGCCCCACGTAACATCCCCAGGGCACTCCCCACCAGGGTCACCTTGGAGCTGCAGTGGTGAGGGTCTGGCAGTTCCCAGTCGATTGCTTTGGGAATGAAATCTGTAATGGGGAAGGGAGGAAGGCGGAGTGGGAGACCCCTTTGGGGTCTGTGGGTGAAAAGGTGGGTGGTATTTCCATGGAGCGCAGGCTTCCTGTGGGAATGCGGATGGGAATGATTTCCCTCAGTGGCGTTAGGTTTGGCCTTGGGACTGAAAACCTATCACCAGTTTGAGGACTGAGGTGTGCAGCCGAATCCTGCTGGGCTCCGGCATCTGTCGCCTTTGTGGCCAGCTCTGGAGGAGGTGTTTTGCTTTCCAAGAGTCCAGGCTTGTTTGGTGCTAATCCTCAGCTCCTCAGCAGGGTGACCTTTGGTTGAAAAACTGAGGGTTTTCTGGGGTAGAGGAGCAATTTTCTTAAAACCACTGCAATTAGCCCTCGCCTGGATGCACTGGGGAGGTGTGAGCCCCTGCCAGGTGCCCAGAGCTGCCACCTCTCTCCACCCAGGCCTGGCAGCTGGCTGCCCCTTTGGGCTCTGCAGCGGCTGCTGGCGTTAGCCCCGGGACAGTGGGTTGCTGCTTTCACCCAGGGTTTGGGGGGGCTGCACCCCTCTTCTCCCCACAGCTTGAGAAGGCAATGGAGCATGGGTAGAAGGCTCGGTAGCCAAGAGCCACAGCGGGATGTCTGAGACCACCAAATGATCCAGGAGAGCATCATCTGGGGCAGGCTGAACAGCTACAGCAGGGACCTCCTGAAGAACCACTGGCTCCAGGGGATCACAACGGACCTGAAGATCCGAGCGGATCTACTGGAGAACAGGGAGAAGGAGACAGCCAAGTGCATGCTGTGCAGCTGCAGGCTCCCAGGCAGTACGGCCACAGCGGGGTGCAGCGGTGGTGGCAGACTGGGGACACCTTTGCCTCCTTGCCTGTTCCCCAGTCACAGGTAGCCTCAATGCTACGGGAGGAGCTCAGGAGCTGGGGACAGAGTGGAGGAAGGTCTGGTACCAGCTGGAGGAAGGAAGTGGCAGCAGCGTTGCAGTACATGGGACCCAGCAAGGGTCCTGGTGCTTGTTCCAGTACCCACTGGGATGTGGGCGAGGAGCTGCCAGTGCTGGGGCTCTCAGCTGCAAGAGGATGTCAGCAGAGCACCGCGACGGTGGGGAGACGCTGCTCCCCGGGCTGCCCTCGCTACCAAGAGACCTGTAACGGGTCTGTAAAGAGGAGCCAGAACTCCTCTGGCTGTTGGAAGCTCCAGAGTTTTGGCGTAAAACCACCTCACTCAAAAACGACGAGGCCAGCCCTGAGACTTCTCGCTGCAGCTCAGTGGAAGCAGCCTGTGGGCACTGCGGAGCGATGAGATTCCCGGCGGCTCGTGCTTGCCACTGTTTCTCAACACAGCGAAAGTGGGTTTGGACCCTGCAGAAGTCACTCCTATCGCTTCCCACTGGAAGCTGCCCCCCAGCCTGAGCTGATGGAACAGGGATGGAAACATGGATTTGAGCTGCAGAGAGCCAGGGACTGCCTGAGTTCAGCTGGTGACGAGGGGCAGGAAGAAGGCAGAGGGTTTATTTCAGTTCTGTGCCAAACTGCCACACAAAGCCACCACAGGGGCTTGAGTAGGACACGAGCTGCCCGCATCTGTGTGGGGACAGACCAGGGCTGCCCCAGTGCCCGGCCTGACTGCCCGGCAGGGCCAGCTCTGTTCTGCACCATGGTCACCCCGCCAAGCCCGCAGCGCCCCAGCCATCGGTCACACAGGTCCCCGGGGGTTCACATCAGCCTCTGTCCCCTGGGTCCCCCGTGGGTGCTCTTCGCCGCAGGATGTGCTCCAGCAGGCAGGTCGCTGCCTGGGCCAGGACCTGCTCCAGCCTCTCCCGCTCCCCAGCATGGAATGGAGCCAAGACGTAGCTGGACACTGTCACTTCACCTTCTGGTCGCCCAATGCCGATCCTGAGCCGGGTCATCTCCTGGGGAGGAAGAAGAAGCTGGAGGAGCATCACCTCATGGACCCAGAGCTTGGGGCATGGGGACAGCACTGAGAGTGGGGCTGGGCAGTGAGGGAGCGGCCCCGCATGTTTTCCAGGTGTTTTTGAGGGCCTGCTCCAAGAAACATGATTTTGGAAGAGGCTTTTTCTGGGCTGTGCTGAGATTCCGGGCTCTTGCCAGGCCTGGCAGAGCTGCTCGAGCTAATTGTTTCCATGTCCTCCACGGCGGCCAAACCAACAACAACTCTCGGGGAAGGAGAAAAGGGGGGAGAGTAAAGGGAGCAGGGGCTTGTCTGGGTGGGAGGAGGGAGTCACAAGAACTGGAGTGGGGGGACAAGAAGCCATGCACTGAGGTAGGGGCAGGATTGAGCCCCTTCCACCAAGGCCCACTCACGTTGGAGTTCAAAGCACTGATGCAGGATCGGACCCCATTGTGTCCCCTTGGGAGAGAAGGAGAAAACCCACCATTAGTCTGTAAGAGACACCCCTGGCTGCTCCCTGGCATGGTCCTGGGGGTCTCTCGCTGCAGGGACTTGGGGATGTGGCCCCAGTCAGGGGCTGCAGTCCCCATGCCCTGGCTCTGCAGGAACATCCAGCCCTGGGGCTGAGAGCAGCTGGCTAGGGGGAAGCAGGGCCAGGACAGCACGTTCTGTGCGTCTTGGCTCTTGTTGCAGGTGGTGCACATGGGACTGAATGCTGGGGCCCAGGACCACCCCTGCCCTGTCCCACAGTGGAAGATTTCCTAGGTTAAATGTCTCGAGGCTGACCCAGGAGCTGGCGCTGGGGCAGGCAGAGCAGAGGCACGGTGCTATAAAAAGCCCATGTGGTGCAGCTGATGGGCTGGATCCAGCCCACAGACGCTTCCAGGAGGCTCCTGGCGCTTCCTGCCAGGGCAGGCACTGGGATTCGACCCAAACAGCCAGCTGTTGCCTCTGCAGCTGGGATTGAGCCCAGGGCTGATGCTGGGGCTGAAAACACCGCCAGGCTGGTGGGATGGGGCCAGGAACAGCCCACGTGCCTGTAAGGCTGGTGGGATGGGGCCAGGAACGGCCCACGTGCCTGTAAGGGCATGGCAAGGCCTCAAACCAGCTGACACAACCGGAGAGCTGAGGCCAATCCATACCTTGCGCTGCCTCCCAGCTTGATCGCCACGTTGCCCAGGGCCTTGTCCAGGTCATCATGAACCAGGTATATGTCTTCTGGGCGGAGGTTGTAGATGTCAGCTTTGGAAAAAAGAAATAAAACCCAAGAAATGAGAGGGAGATGGGCTCACCAGGCCCTGACCCTGCAGAGTGGGGCTGCAGGGACCCGTGCCGGGCAAGGGGGGCCCGGTGGCACAGCAGGTGTTGGGAGTGACCGCGCCGCTCACCGGCACTGGCGACGCTGAGCCCGTTGAGGTTCATGAGCCTCCGCGGTTTCAGCAGCACCAGCTCCAGGCCGTGGGCCACGGCCAGGGCCATGTCGGCACAGCACCGCCTGTCCACTCGCCAGCCCTCGGCCACCGCC